CTGACATTGTCTTTGGTGTCCCTTTTGTACTGTTGAGGGTTCCTGTAATTCTCATGGGGTTTCCTGGGTGGACGGTTCCCTCATCTGAAGACCACCTGGTCAATAATCTCAATTTCCCGTTGTCATGTGGCATAACAAATTCATAGATCTCAGGGGATCGAACTCAGAAATCTCAGGAGCGAAAAACATTATTCTGTCTGTCATAGCAGGTAGAAAATCAACCCCCTTTGCCTCCTGTATAATATTCATTTAATTTTACTTTGACATAGTATTTAAGACAATTCTGACCTCAAAATAGTCCTGCTTCAGTCTCCTAGAGACCATTTTATTAATCTACACTGATTCTCTGCCTATGTTTTTTTTTTTTTCTGAAGATGTCTCATTGGTGTCAGATCAAAATGTGTGAGTAAGGCCCTCTTTCCCCAGGATTTCTAAGCCTCCTTGTTCCTAAGCATTGAGATTTCTAGCCAGTCTCTTGCTACAGTCTTTCCATCCTACTGTATTCCACTTAGGGGTTGGACTGTGTGTGTTCATTTCTCCTCAGTGTGACTCCCTTGTCAGAATAAATTCATCGTGGAGCAGAGACAGCATGTTTTTCTCACGAATCTGTGGAAGCCAGACGCTAGGATGAAATTATCTCAACTATCCATCCTGACAGGCCATGCAAGATGCTGTTTGTGTTCTTACAAAGGGTCCCAGGTTATTCCAACCAGTTAGGAAGCGAGACTCAGGCTGGGAAGATAGCTCAGTGGGTGAAGCACTGGCTGAGCACACATGAGGGCCTGAGTCTGGATCCCCAGAGCCCACAAAAAGCTGAGCAGAGAAGTGTGTACACACCATCCTAGTACTCCTTCCCCCAGTTTGGAGGTGCAGATGGAGAAATCCCCTAGTTAGCCTGCCATCTGCCACAGTAGACAGAGCCTGTCTTAAGCAAGGTAGAAGGTGAGGACCGTATCTGAGGTTGTCCTCTGACGGCTACATGCACCTTGTGGTATATGCGTGCCTTCATTCATATGCAGGTATACACACAAACATATGTGCTCTCTCTCTCTCTCTCTCTCTCTCTCTCTCTCTCTCTCTCTCTCACACACACACACACACACACACACACTCTCACACACACACATTTTTAAAGCGATTTTCTTTAATACCTTCTCCACCTTTCTCAATCTCTGCCTTATTATTACTTGAACCACTCACAGTGATAAAACTGAAGACTCAGGAGGGGACCATCAGGGCTCATAACGGGACTACTGCAAACACTGTTGGAAGGAGACCGTGAACAACTTGCCTCCCACACACAGACTTTGTATGTGGCCACTGTGGATTACTACCAGTCCTGAAAATCTCCAACAACATCACCACTTCCCTTCTCATGAGGAGTTTGGTATTAGCCCTTAGTAATCTAACAATGTCCACTTAGAAGTTCAGGAAACTCAGGCCCCATGTCTCAGTCTAAATATTCTAGATCTTTAAATGACCTGTATTTAGCCAAATGTAGCTCCTTAGAGACTGACAGTATCTCAGGAAGTCCATAGCCCTCAAAGGATACACAAGATGAAACTCATTACCAGATTAAAAAGAACGTATTTGTTTGAACTCTGCTGATTTAATTTTCTGGAACTGTGTCTGGACTTGTTGAAGTGTAGCTTTATTTGTGGTTCATAATCTGGGAGTGAGAGAGTGGGTGTGTACCGACTTTCAACTACAACTTAAACTCCTCTCCTAGGCTGCATGGGGCCTGTCTTCATCAGTTTGGCTGCTCTAACAAAATGCCATTGAGTGATTGTTTTAAAAGCCACAGGATTTAAACTCTCTAGGTTCCTGAGTCTGAAAGTCTGATATCTGCTGCATGATCAAGATCAGGTCAAAGCCTTCTTCTGGGTTATAAATTACCCATTTCTTTTCCTGTTTTTTCAAGACAGGATCACTTTGTGTAGCCCTGGCTGTCCTGGAACCTGCTCTGTAGATCAGGCTGGCCTCCAACTCAGAGATGCACCCACCCCTGCCTCCCAACTACTGGGATTAGAGGTGTGTGTCTCCACACCCATCTATTATTCACTTCTTATATCCTCACGTGGAGAAGTGCAGAGACTAAGATAAGTCTGTCTTGTTTTTCTTATAAAGGCATAAATCCAGTCAGGAAGGCTCTACTCGGCTGGTCTCATCAATTCCTCATTAACTCCTAAAGCCCCCATCTTTTAATATCATCAGCGATAGCAGGTAGCATTTTCACACGAACATTTTGTGAGAACATTTGCTTTACTTTTTATTTTTTGCGACACAAACTCCAACAAAACCCAGTGTGTTTCTACTTCCTAAACTAATCAGCTACAGACTCCCGGGATGCCGCGGGTCTCTAACTAACTAGGAAAATCACTTCAGGTATCTCCAGACAAAAATGGCTGACTTTGACAGCAAAAGGTTAGAAAGAGCAGGGGGTGCTGGCATGGCTCAGGGCTGTCAGTCAGAGCTGTTCCACCATTATTCCTATCATGTTCGCTCCTCTCCACCATTTCAATTCTGCGAGCCCTGTAATTACACAGCCGTGTGCATCCACGCTGTCAACAGGATCTTCTGAGTGAAATGTAGCTAAATAAGTGTAAATGAGGAAAGGGGCACAATCAAAGCCCGGTCTCTAGCAATCTCCTCCATGCTCTGGACGGCCTCACTCACATCCAACTGCTTGCTGATTCCTTGTCATTTCTTTTCCAACAGGAGGGCACTCTGCACTCACCTTGCATTTGAAGCTAATCCAGAACCAAAAGGAAGTGGAGGTGATTGGAAGCGGCTCCTACAACGTGGATAAGTCTCTCCTCTCTGTTGTACGCTTGTCAGAGCCAGCTCGCCATCTTAATTTCTTCCATTTTTTAAAGCTTGTGAAATACAGGCGTCTTTTGTTCGCTGGTGGATCTTGTGGTTCTCTTAGTGGTCACAGCCTTTTTTTGCTGGTCCTAGAAGATTTCTATTCCCCCGCCTTGTAGGTGAAATCACCACCTCTCCTAGAGACCCAGTTCCTAACCCTCCAAATACATTACCTCACAGGAAAAAAGGGATTCTGTAGATGTGATAAGTTAAGGATCTGTAGGTGACAAGATTGTCCTGGAATCAGAGTCAGGCCCAGTGGAATCGTGAGGCTCCATATAAGGGGAAGTGGGGAACAGAGAGTCAGGAAAGTCATAGACAGAAACAGAAGTTGGAATATTGCAAATGAAGATTGGGATTAGGTACTTTCTGGACTCAGAAACAGTTCTTCCCCCAGAGCCTCTGGAAGGCACGCAGCCCTTCTGACATTTGAGAGTAGCGTAGTACACTCCATTTCAGAATTCTGATCTCCTGACCCAGAGAGTTGCAACTCTGTGTTGCTAAAGGTCTTTTACAGATTTGATCAGATTTTTACCACCCAAATTCCTGTTGGGGTTAAATTCCTGTTGTGTATTAGGCATGAACAGAGATAAGTATCATCTGATGGTGTTGGGAGGTGGGGTTAATTAGTGTTGGAAAAGCCAGCAAAGTAGGTAGAATCACATGATTGCATCCCAGTGGGTTTTAAACTGAGGAGATGGGGAGGGAAGAATAAATTAGTTTTTTTTCTTACTTTTATGTACTTTAAATTATACTTGGTTTTTTTTTTCTTTCTTTCTCCCCGCTCCCCAGTAAGGACAATCTCTTTAACATGATTTATTTGAATGTATTTAACACTATTAATTTAAATTTCCCACCAGTGAAAAAGACTGCTTGCTGTTCACTTTGAACATAAATTCTCTAGATAGCATTTGTGTCTCTCTGGGAGTCGGGGACTTCTAGTTTGGTTTTGTTTTCATGTGGTTCTGGGGGTTGAATCAGAGTCTTTTACCTTCTAGGTCCTAGAATCTACATGCCTATAATTTAGGCACACATTCTACCACTGAGCAACACCCTAGCCAGGACTCTGATTTCCAGATCTGACACCAGTGGTTTGGAAGTTTCTGGTCATCTGGAGTTTCCCATCTGACCCCAATCTGGATTTGGTGCGGGAGAATTGTCTGTATTCTGTCAATCATGTATTTTAATAAAACGCTGATTGGCCAGGCGGGAAGTATAGGTGGGTCAACCAGACAGGAAGTAGAGGCGGGGCGATGAGAACAGGAATATTCTGGGAAGCAGGAAGCTCCCTCGCCATTCCTGCGCAGATCACTGAAGAGGCAACATGTAAGCTGACAGCTGAAAAAGGTACCAAGCCATATGGCTACCATAGATAATAATAATGGGTTAATATAAGTTACAAGGGTTAACAAGATGCCTGAGCTAATGGGCCAATCAGTTTATAACCTAATGTAGACTCCGTGTTATTTTCTTTGGGAATTGCTGGTTGTGGGGTACCAGGCGGGACAGAAACCCCAACAAGCCAGCCCTCATGTTACATGGATTGCTAGGGATTTTCCTCTTTCACACGCATGACTTTTGAAAGCTTACGTTGTTTGCTTAGTTTTCTGGTTTCCCGAAAGAGTCCTAGTTTCCAGCTGAGAACTTCGGCTTTCTCTTGGCATCCCCATTTCCATCTTGAAACTGCTCCTTTGCTCCTACCCGTGTACTTTCAGTGAATTAAAGGTTCTGAGGAGAGGAGGCTAAGGGAAGATTCTGTCCTGCTCAGGCGTCTTTGTTCTTAGTCTTTGCTTCTTAAGGTTTTTCATTCTCGTCTGTCTTAAAGGTTACAGTGACCTTCAGATACCAGCCAGCGAGTGAAAGGCCTTTCAGTGCCTTTCCCCAGCATTTTTCTTCTCTGAGGTGTGACCTGAGTATATTGCTATGCTGTACCAGCCATTATTGTGTGAAAGTAAACAACAGAAAAGCCAAATTCAATAGAGACAGTGTCACTGTGAATGCTGACAATCACACACAGCGCAGGCTTCTCTTATAAAGGAGCTTGAAGCCTCTTCTGGGGAGACGCGTCTGCAATACCCTTCACCTTTTGTGGGCTCCTTTCTTTCTTTCTTTCTTCCTTCCTTCCTTTCTTTCTTTCTTTCTTTCTTTCTTTCTTTTCCTTAACACCGAATATGTTGCTAGACTTTTAATGGATTCCTTTGTGTTTGGGGATAATTTTTTAAATTCTTTCATACCCTGAGAACACGACCAGTTGAAAACCAACTTTAAACTCCTTTGAGCTTTACAATTTTCTGCTTTGTTCCTTTCTCTAGAGATCTGCGAGCCAACGCCACCAATTGGCCTCAGAATGACCCTTTGTCCTCTCAAGTGTCAATAGCACCAGTCCATAGCTAGGGAGAAAAATACTGCCAGAGTCAGGCAGACCAAACCTTATAGGAAGATGGGACACTGTTAGTTGCTGATGCTCCTCTCCCTGGGAAAATGTGAGCAATGCCCACCCATCTCAGCTGGGCACCAGCAATAGACCAAAGTAATGATTCCACTGAAGCCTAGACTGGTGAGTCAATGAGTTTATCGGGTTTTCTTACAGAAGCGTGGGGAAGTGGTTATTACAGGAGCTCGAGGGACCAACATATCTGCATGACCTATGTGCCACACGAACACGGATGGCAACTCCCACCATAGCTGGTGCAGTCAGAGGAGCCCCCACATGTAGTTAACCATCCCCCCTGTATAAGCTACCACCTCCTGGGAGCTCTTGCAGCTGAGGCAGACTTGTCCACATCTGGGAGGGGATGTAGGAAGGAGTGGTTGGGATCCCAGGTGAGGTTCTAAAGACCCATCCTGAGGGTGTCTTATAGACAGTAATAGCTGCTCTGATAAAGATGCTAATGGCTGGGAGATTCAGAAGCATCCCAACAACAACAGCGTACTTGCTCTACAGAATTGAGGACCAAATGAGAGAGCAGAGCCACAAGCGTAAGCAGCTTTATGGAACAGGATACGATATCAAGACAGTACATCTATTATTGGAGAATTATGCATGTTCATGGCAGCACAGTTCTTTGTATAGATTTTTTTCTCATTTTCTATTTTTAGAGCTAGAAAACTCAACTTTGTCTTGGAAGACTGTGTGCCGTATAAGAAGGAACAAAACTGAGAATTAGGAAATCCTGACTTCATGAACCGTTGTGTACCATTTAAGTGTGGTTGTTACTATTAATAAGAACTGGAAGCGCATTCAAGTAAGCTTTTACTGTACGTTAGTTTGTTCAGTCCTCATGACAATCTGCTAAGAGAGCTATTGTTGCTATTATTATCCTAATACCATAGGAAGAAAATGAGGTTTTTCGAATGACTCACTCAGCCTCCTACCTCTGAGTGACACTCATACCCAGGTTTGTACAATCTGAGAGTGGACAATAAAAATCCCTGCTGATGTTAACTGGGATAAGCGTCAGAACAATCCACACACAAATCATGAGCATCTACTCGATTCCTCTCAAAACCACCGGAACCAAGCATTTAACTCGAGAGTGAAAATAAATCAGAACAGTCACTTTGTTCAGCCTCCTTAGGCTTCAGCTATGAAAACTAAAGCCCCCAGCAAAAGACAGCTGTCCAGTAAACAACAGCTCAAGTTGAGGCCTTTTAGCATCTTCTCAGGGCAGACACTTGCAGGAGTCTCTGAACTTAAAGATCAAGTGTTAGGTTTACAGGACCCGTTGAGGATTAAAGAGCCTACTAACTGAGCCCTCATTACACAGTAGGCATTTCATAAGCAACACACACACATCATGCTTTTTCAAAGATTTATTTTATTTTATTTTATGTGTATGAGTGTTTATTCACATGTATGTATGTGGGCTATGTGTGCGCAGTACTTATGAAGGCCAGAAAAAGGCACCAAATATCATCAAATTGGAGTTACAGGTGATTGGGAAGGGAACCTGAGTCCTCTGCTCTTAACTGCTGAGTCAGCTCTCCAGCCCCGCCCCTCGCTACTGAGTTATCTCTCCAGCGCTGCCCCCTCCCCTGCGAAAAACCATTTAAACCAAGGAAATAAAGGTTCTTTCCTTAAGATATCATGCAACTGTTAATTCAATTCATTAAAACTTTGAAAAAAAAGCCCAGAGAGATCTATTTGTACAAAAACATAGTAAATGGAAAATCAGAATGAAACATTACCAGCAAGTTAAAAACATCCCAGGCAATTAAAAAATAAGCAGACATATCAACAAGCTAATAGGGTTGTATCAGCCTCAATAGAATGATAGTTTTCCTTTATCACAGTGTCATGTTATGTCAAAACAATATTTTAAATAAATATCTGTAAAAAAGAATGCAAGATAATCTTCAAAATATTTCTGCTTTCTATGATTTTATTTATTTTAATATATCTTATTTTTTACCTCTCTCTCTCTCTCTCTCTGTAAGTGTGTGTGTACACAAGTACCCATGGAGGTCATAAGAAGGCATTCAGATGCCCTGGAGCTGGAGTTATTTGTTTACTGCCCACTGTGGGCACTGGGATATGAACTCAGGTCCCTGATAGAGCCGGAAGCCTGCCAAACCGCTGAGCTATCTTTCCAGTAGCCCCCTTTCCTTTCCTGTAGCCACAATGAGAAAGTTCTCCCTGTCTTTTGACGGTCTGGTTTAGAGTCACCAAATACTGAACTTTATGACTAGTTTTTGTTTTTTATCCTTTGACATATTTTCAAACATTTTCCCCTCAGAGTTTCTTCCTGCCACCTCGTCCACCTTCCTTTGTGCACGCTGGCCTTGCTGGTGTGAGTGCCGTTCTCTCCCCTCGGCACCCTGACAGAGTCGGTATTCCCTGTAGGCCTCTCAGGGGTTCCTAGACTGGTTTTGTGCCTTAAATTGCCTGGCATTGATTGTACTCCTCGCATCCACTTCATGTCTTTTCTTTCACAATTGCCCATCAATCTTGTGCACCCCGAAGGCTGAGAAAGGCTTTCTGTTCATTAATTAATTGCCTTACCTTCCCCTCCCGTTGAAAAAAAAAAGTCTTATCTACACACAGTCTTAGCAAGAATATTGGATCTCCTCAAATTGACGGAAAGCTGAGCAGCAAAGACAGAAGGCAGGACAGAGTCAAAGGGCACTGGGTGCCTGCTTGGTCATGCTGGGGAAAGACACTGGATTTCAGATGTTTCTGTGCTCGGACTCCAGGTGAGAACCAGGGTTGACGACTGGAGTCTAATGTCTGCAACTAGGTTAGGAGTCCACATCCTCCCTATTGTGGGTGGTATGCTTGCCAGTCTTCTCTTACTGTAATGAAAAGCCCCAAATAATTAATTTATAAAGAGAAACTCTTTTGGCTCACAGTTTGTGGGTTCTGTCTGTGATGAATGGGCCCAATTGTTCTGGACCTCTGGTGAGAGATTCCATTGTCATATGAGTTCCCAGCAGAGCTAAACTGCTCACTCACGGTCAGAAGCAAAGAGAAAAGGAAGGGGGTGGGACCCCACTCTTCCCTTTAAGGGCCTATCTCCAGTATATCCAAGATTCTCACTCTAGGCTCTGGCTCTCAGTTTTCACAACCTCACAAAAGCATCACCTCGAGGACCACGCCTTTAGTCTAAGGCTTTGGAAGTTTCAATACCCAGGCCACCGCAGACGGGGCAGAGACTTCCACGGAGATGCTCGCACTGTCAAGATGCAAAGGACCGAGGTCCCCTACATAGGAACTAAATTTATGTCAACAGAGACAAAGCCAGTGTCCCCTGAACCTTTCAAGATGAGCTCCCCATGTCACATGTCCCGGTATTACACTGTTATTCTACAGAGCGCCCACCTCTGTCGAGTAGAAGTCACCTGCCCAACTCTATTGACCTGGCCCATGTGAGGTCCCCTGTAAAGGGTGCTTTTCCTGTAAACATTTCCTTCATTGTCGATTCTCAAGCACATCTCCCTTCTTATCTCCTGGCAGCCCTAGCCCAGCCCACATACCACACAGTATGGATGTTAACTTCCCCAACTGATTTTCCCCTTAAGCTAAACACTCCGTGAGGGCAGGTACTGCCTTGTACAGCACATTTAATATGGACTAACTGAGGGCTGAATGGATACTCATCACGTCTCTGTTTTGGTTGGTGTTTTAAAGCAAGCTTATGTTATATATTTTCCTGAAGTTTCTCCTTTCCAGTAAAGAATGCTCAATATCGAACTACACTCCAATTTGGGTTCAGAGAAAGGCAATTCCTGTGATTATTACCGAAGATAGTGTACACTTCTTAAAAAACCCTAAGAAGTCACGTCAGAGTCAGTTTCTTTTCACAAAGATTAAACAAACAAACAAACAAACAAAAAACAAATGGATTTCTTTTTCTGGTGTTAATTCTCTGTCTCTTGGTAGCTTTCTTGTTTGGGAGCACAGGTGTCAGAACGTGGGGGTTTTCAGTATGTGTTGAGTGTGGGTCTCTAATGGTTCAGTGTGTGGAGTTGGGTCTCTAATGGTTCAGTGTGTTGAGTGTGGGCCTCTAATGGCTCAGTGTGTGGAGTTGGGTCTCTAATGGTAGAGCGAGGTCCTTCTACTGACTGCCCAGCAGTTCCACATCGGTGTCTCCTTTAAGGGAGCCACCACTAGTTTCTGCCAAAAGCTTAGTTGGAAAAAAGCTGTGTGTGTGTTTTCTGATCTGAAGACTTTACTCTATGGACTTCCTGAGTCAATTTTCTGTGCACCAGACCACATTTTTATAACAAAATTTTATAATGACTCTTTTTATTCTTCTATAAGGAAATGCATAAAAATAAAATCTACCTACACACTTTTAAAAAAAAAACAGGAAAATAATTTTCTAATTAAAATCTAAGGAAGGCATGCAGGGAAGAAGAGAATAATACCAGAAAGATCCACAGGCGGGGCAGGCCTAATCTGAAAATCTCAAATCCTTTACAGTTCATAGCATTTTGAGAGCCAAATGATATCACAAGTAAAAATTTCCACTTGCATTAAAAATACTCTCATTATTCATAATGTCATATAAAATTATCTTTAGGCTATCGGTCTAAAGTGTATCTCTAAATGTTTATGTAGATATTCTACCTCCTCTGTCCTAAACAACTTCCAAACCTGAATGCTGCTTGTTCCAAGCATTTTGGGTGATGACTACTCAACACATGGCATAACACATATGGCATGTTTGCATTTTTAAATATTACTTTACCTTATTTTAGTTTTGGGCGCTGGGAGTTGAACTCAGGGCCTACACATGCTGTTCCATTGAACTACACCTCCAGCTTTGTGCATTTCAGTAAGAAGTATTAAATGTTCACACAATTACTGTGGAAGACAACACGACATCATCACCTGTAGCAGGTTGGTGCATTGTGCATGAAGTGATACCCAATCCATTCAAATTCCAAATGAAACCAAATAAGACTGTCTCTAACTCATAGGAACTCACTGATTAAAGACTATGACAAATGTTTCATCATAGCAATGTGAAAAGTCCCCAATACAGCAAGGATTCAGCATTGTATTTCAAAAGCCAAGAGGGATGCTGACTGAGTCCTCTTTGGAGAGGAAGCATTTTCTGCCCACTGTGGGATGCTAGGCATTCCCAGACTCTGTTTGCTAATGACCAGGAGCACCTATGAACAAGGACACTCAAAGCTCCAGTAGCAATTCCCAAGATGCCATTAGGAACTTCTACTTTAGACACTGTGAACTGTGAAGTTCACTCTTGGGAATACAAAAATCCTTTTCAGAGCTGTGTCTAGACCCTGAGCATTTGACTTCCTGTGTCATTGCTGGGTATTCTCCTAGTCACCCATATGGAAGACATGCCAGGAAGCCACCCCAGAACTGTTCATTGGAAACTCTGGGGCTCACACGTTTCCCACCAGATGCTTTCTAAGGATACTTGGGAGAAATGGCGACCTTGTACCAGTTGCAGGAGGCATTTGATTTTCCTTGTCATTGTCCTCTGAATACATGCCACAAACTTGATCGTCACAATGCTGCAACATGGCTAGGTAAAAATGTCCTGCTTCTAGTTGATGCTCAGGGTTTCATGATTTGCCTTTTATGAGCAAACTTGCTCTATGATACTTGCTTTTTTGTTATTTTCATATATATTTTGTCTTTGTCTTATTTTGAAGATAGAAGTTTCTGTCCTGAATGGTCTTGCAGCTGTTCAGTCCCAACAAAACACACTTATATTAATTATATTATATTAATTATAAACTGGTTGGCTATTAGCTCAGGCTTATTATTAACTGGCCTTTACAACTTAAATTAACCTATAATTCTTATCTATGTTTAGTCACTTGACTTGGTACTTTACTCAGTGAGGCATTCTCATCTTGCTTCCTCTGCATCTGACTGGTGACTGCAGACTGAGCCTTTCTTCTTCCCAGAATTCTCCTAGTCTGGTTGCCGTGCCTATACTTCCTGTCTGGCTACTAGCCAATCAGTGTTTCATCAAACCAATGAGTGACAAATCTTTACAGTATACAAGAACATTATCCCCCAGCACTGTTCTTACTTCCCCCTTTTTCTTTTCTTTTTTCTTTCTTTTGGTACCAGGGCTCAAACCCTATATGTGCTAGACAAGTGCTCTACTGCTGACCCACATTCCTAGCTTTTCTTTTTTTTCATAATCAAACAACAAATTTTTGGCTATAAAAATTGTAGACACTTTCATTTTCTCACAAAAAAATTAGTTCTGAATTGTTCTAACAAGCAATCATATTAAAACCAAAGGGAAAATTTTAAGATTGATTCTTAGACATTACCTACCATATCTTTGTGAGAACTTTCTACTTGTAGCTTTCTTTTAAATTAACAGGACTCTAATCTTCTAGGTTGGCAATTTCTCTCTTTCTCCTTCTCCTCTACTCCTCTCTCCCTCCCCTTCCTTTCCCTTCCTCCTTCCTTTCTTCCTTCCTCCCTAATTTCCTTCTGTCCGTCTGTCCTTTCCTCCCTTTCTTCTCTCTCTCCCCATTTCTCCTCATCTTCCTCCCTCTCTCTGTTTCAGTACTGGGGACGGAACTCAGATCCTTGTCATGCTAAGCAAGTACACTGCTCCTGCCCTGGATCCAGGGCTCTTCTCACTTTTGTTTTCGTTTCCAGGTCTCATGTAGCTCAGGCTGACCTCAAGCTTGCTATGAAGGTGAAGATGACTTTGAACACCTGATTCCGTGCCTCCCCCCACGCCCGCCTCCACTTCCCATGTGCTGGAATTGTGGGTATATGCCACCACTTTACTTTTTATACTGAGGCAGGGTCTCGCCAAGTTTTCAGGCACCGTGACTCATTCCATAGTTCAGGCAAGTTTTATTCATAAAACATAAATAAAATATCACTACATCCCACCTTATTTTTTGAGGCAGGATCTCTCATTGAACGGGTAGCTTGCTGATTTGGTGAGGCCAGCTGATTAGCGAGCTCCGGGAATCTACCTATCTCAGCCTACCCAGCACTGGGATTCTGGGGTCATGCTGTCATGCTCAGCTTCTTGCACGGGTGCCAGTTATCTGAACTCATAGCCCCACGCTTTCACAGCAAGCCTTTTCCAGTTGGAGCCATATCCCCAGCCCTGTGGCTTTGCTGTTTTCAGAACCATTTCATGACCTTATATTTATTTGTTCAGATACATCATCCCTTTGCCTTACTTTGCCTCCCTGGCCTGCAGGTGGCTTAGGCTAGCTGACTTTCCTTCCCCTCCATCTTTCTCTACCTTGGCAATTCTCTTTCCCTTCTTGACTGTCTGGCTTTTCTTTTTGCTTGGCCTGGGTGAATAATAGTTTGGACTCCCGTTCATTCACAATGTAACTCGATCGATTTTCTTGTAACCATGGTATTTTTTCAGGAATACATGTCCTTTCATTCTTTCTTCAATTTGGTAATTCGACCGCAAAAACCAAGGCAGCAATTTCTTGGTAACTCTTTCCCTAAAGGTATCTGTCTAAATACGTCGTTCATTACCTTGTTTCGAAGTTACATTTCATATTCTTCAAGCTCGGAGGTCTGAAATCCTGGAGAAGCTCTTGCAGCAAACCCCAGGAGTTCTTGTTGATATTATTGAATTTCTCCCCTGTGGGAGAGGAGCATGCTAATTAAAACACAAAAGAAAAGGAAAAGCTTCCAGGGGGAGGAGAGAATCCTATTTCTCAGTGGTATAGACCCTGTAAGTTGCCCTTGTTCAAGTAAAAGGCTCCCTACCCATGCTCATGCAAGCAACCCTAATTAAACTCAGTGCCCCCTCTACCTCCGCACCAAAGGCATGGAAAGAGGAGGGGACCTGCTGGGAAGAACAGGTTTAGAGGGAGGTGGAAGAGAGTACCAGGAGATAATGGATGGCTTGGGAGTGATCAATGTGTGCTCTATTTATTTATAAAACTGTGAAAGAATAAATAACAATTTAAGCATCGTACCTTGGAGCACCAAAAGGCCTTGTGGTCCAGGGGAGGAAGAAGGTAGGCTTCTCTCATTGAAAAGTCATTGAGTGACTGCTCTTAGCATGCAGTGAGAGAGGCTAAGTCACTACTGTGTTAGCTATTAAAACTTACCACCTTGATATAGAGTATGGTGGTGATGTCTATCATTAAAGACTGCCTTGATTTCCAGTTTGGACTACTGGGGACTAAACCCAGAACCTTGTATATGCTATGCAGATTTTCTACCACTGAACTACACTGCCACTAACTTTTACTTTAACTTTGTGTTTTTCTACTTCGTTTTGAGATGGGCGCTTGCTGTGTTGCTAAGGCTGACCTTTAACTTCTGAACTCAAGTGATCCTCCTGCCTCAGTGTCCTGAGTAGCTGATACTCAATAGGCCTGGGTCATCACACCAAGCTTCTCTGACATTCTAAGAGCCGTTTTCTGGTCATCGTTTCACCATGGTTTGAGTATACAGTGTCCCCTCAAAACTCAAAAGGTTTATGGTCATGCTGTTTTGAGAGCTTCTAGAAATTGTAGGAGGGGGAGCCTAGTGAGTGTTTGGTCAGCTTCTTGTCCCTGGCCCCTTCCCCTCTCTGCCTCTTGCCTGCTGTTAGGTTTCTCTGTTTTATGATTCCCATGGGGTTGAACAATCCTGCTACATGACGCTGCACCTATCACCATGGAATGAAACCTCCAAGACAACAAGACAACTTCTCCCTAACTCTGCTTGTGCTGGGTATTTTGGTCACAGCAATGTGAAGACTAACCAACACACATTTGGTCAACTCTATCCCTGTGCGCTGTATTTTTAAGGGCAAGAGAGACCTTGATAACTTGGGCCATGACAGTGAGTGACTTCCCTAAAGCCACAAGAACAATTGGAAACAATGCCAGGAAAAATAGTGGGGAATGTGTTTCTGTATTTCAGGGTCAATATCTGAAATATTTATATTCATTATTGGTGTTTATTAATGCCCTCCTTTTTTTCTGGGGATTGGAATTTCTTTTTGAACTTAAAGCAGGGTCTTGGTGTATCAAAGAGCGCCTTTTGACCTCCTGAAATGTAAGAGCTGTTTAAAGTAAAACAGTGTTTGCTGAGGAGATATCAAAATCTTTGCTGCTCAAAGAAGTGCCTCAAGCAAAGCAAAGCAGGAAGGTAAGCCCGGCCTTGTCTTTTGCCTTCCATCCTGAAGATGGTCTAGTTTTCACAGTACTCTGAGGTCCTTGACCAATTGATGACTTTCCTCTCTCCTTTATCCTTGTATGGGGAGCCTGAAGAGGGGGTTGGGATTCTTATTTTGTGTGAGGGAGGCTTCCTCCTTCTCCCTTCCTAAAGGATATCTGTCCCCATGCTTAGCTTCACACCTCAGAGAGGTATCACTGCATAATTCAGAAGTCTCCTCCCCTCCACAAGCACCACCACTCTTAGGTGCACGGAGGACCCCTTAGACGACACCTCTGCCAATGGGTAGCCTTCTCTGACTGCTGTAGCTCTCTAAATGTTGGCTACTCAAAGCAGAAAGTAAGCCTTCTCTACAAACACTCCAGTTTGAACAAGGACAACAGCAGAAACCCTTGTGTGTTGGCACATACTTAACTGTTCCCGTGAGCCACTAGCTTTCCAGATAAAGTGGCATTTAAATTTCTTCTTATAATGTTTCTTCTTTTAAGCTTCAGAATGTCTTACTTTCAAAGACAGCCAATTCATTTAGCTTTCCAAAATAATGGGAGGATCTTGTTATGTAAGCAATAAAAAATATTTCCTGAAAACGATTAATTCTGATACTGTTTCTAGGGTAACCAGAGAAGTAAAATCGCAAAGCAGCAATGGGGAAGTTAGTGTAAAATCCTGTGTAATTCTAAAAAGAACCATTATCTTTAAAAATTATAAGCTGAAAAAGTAATATTTGACATTGGAGGACTTAACCCTGGACAGTTTATTGCTGCCAGTTTAATATAAATGGGGATATAAATTGGAAGATTATAGGAGCCGAGTATAATGTCCCACCTTTCCCAAGCATAACTCAGAAACTTTGGAGGCATCAGGTAATGTCAAGTTTTTGTGATATGTCTTAGGAAATTATCATTTGAACAACACAATTTTCTTTCCTTGGTGTCTAAGGAACAAGCCAGGCATGGTGCCTCTGATTTTAGCCTTTGAGAGTCCAGATAGGAGGACTGTGTGAGTTCCAAGCTACAGTGGGAGACACTGTTTCAAAAACAAACGTACAACCACATCAGAACTTATTAATGCTATTTTGTTAGAGGAATTCTTAAAGCACACCAATGCAATAGTTGAAGGCAAAATGTATTAATAGGTTACAGGAGGCATGAAAGGAGTCTGGTCCATTTACAGCCAGTCAAATCTTTTTCTGTTTATAGATTGGATTTTTGCTCAAATCGTCTGTTGTCCTTTCCGTCACAGATGTGACAGATGTATCAGACAGGCTGAAGGAAGAACTGAAAACCGCTGGTTTATTTTCTCCCCTTCCCCTACAGATTGGTTCTCTCCACTGTCTTGACCCTGAAGGTGAGCCACGTGGGGTGGATCCTGGATTTTCAGTCTTTCCGGCAGTGAGATAAAGACTGCTGGTCGCATTCAGGAAACAAATCCTCTTCTGGGCAAAGACTCATCAGGCAGCACCAGACTTCTCAGGGGTTGCAGGTAGGGATGAAATGGAGTCAAGAGCGTGAGGTCAAAGTACGAGTGTAACGTGTTGCTAGGGTCCCTCCTCCCAGCCCTAACTGTCTCTTTTGGAACCTCTTATTTCCAATTCCATGGATGTGGGCAATGCCTTCTCCAGCAGGTTGCCTGTGAACATTCCTTTGTTCCCTGGAGAGCCACCTTGTCTTGTGGTCACCTGGCCTGTCATGCTTAGTTCCTCCCCAAGTGACCCAGCCTAGTCCCCTTCCCCAGAGTCCTTCTCTACCGTAGAAGAAATTCTGGCCTCTCCAGCCCACCAAGTCGTTGCCATATCAGATACTTTGCCTCTCACTAGAGCTACCCATCAGCCCTGCATCCCTCTAACTGCAAGACAGAGATGAGCTCCCAGGCTGGCTCACTCTGAGCTTTTAATATCAGTGACCACTCTCACATGACTCCAGAAAATGTTTTGTTTTTTTTGTTTTTTGTTTTTTTGTTTGTTTGGTTTTTTTTTTTTGCTACACTGGTATATTTTCTATACCTTTGAAATCACTGAATTTTAAAGATGCATATGTATATTACATACATCTAAAGACATAAATGCAAAGCTAGGCACCAGGCATGCTTATAATCCTATAATTTAATTACTCAGCTTTCTTTTTTTTTTTTTTTTCTTTCTAGGTCACTTCCGTGTTTTTATACACCAGTGCTGCAGTGAAAGGGTGAAGCTTTGGGCATTGTCAGCCATAGCAGAATCCAGAGGTCTGTATTTTGTCCACACTCATTAAACTGTAAGCAAGCCCTTGGCCTCCATCGGTTATGGAGTATTACCCCAGGAGAGCGAGAGAGGATTGATTTTCTCCCTCTCCTTCAGAGTTCTTTCCGACCAAGCTCACTGACTTTAGAAGTGACATCTAGACACTGAATTTTCTTCCATTTAAAAATTGGACACAAAGTTCCTTTAAGTGGTGTCAGGCTGCGTTAGATCAAGAATACAGTCGTGGGGTCCGGGATAGGAGCATGGCCAATGGCATTAGGTTGTCACAAGGAGACAGAAATGACAACAGAAACTTGACTGCACCTTCAGCTCCCTTCTAGTGTAGTTATTGCCACGTTCTTTCAGATAACAGTATCAAATGATTGAGACGTTGGGTCCCAATTAAGAAGACAGTTAAAAGAACGTCACTACATTTATACAGTGGCTTGTGTCTTCCTAAGTCTTTGACTTTTCTTATCTTGTTGAATCCTCACAGATGTCTTGAGATGCGACTGAGGAAGACATTGTCATAACCTTTGGTTGATCATGAGGCTTGATTCGCCTTTCACAGTCACAAAGCCAGCAAGAGGCTAGAGTTTGGCTGCCTATTTCTTTGCCCAGTGCTCCTGGGGTGCCCATTGTTTCCCACATCTTATAAGGTATCTGTGATGGTTAATCCTGATTGCTAATTTAAAGGGATTTGAAATTCCCATGGAAACAAATCTCTGGTCATGTCTTTGAGGGATTATTCAGATTACATTAGCTGGAGGTAGAGGACCCTTCAAGAATGTGGGCAGCACCATTGCTTGGGCTGAATTTGGGGCTGTATGAAAAGGAGAAAGTTAACTGAGTGCAAGCATTCGGGTATCTCTACCTCCATGTTGTGGACATATGTGACCAGTTGCCCCTTGCTTCTGCTGGCAAACCTTCGCTACCGTAATGGGTGGATCATTTGGAAGTGCAAACCAAAGCAAGTCTTTCCTTCCTTAAGCTGCCTTTTGCCAGGTGTTTTGTTACAGCACTGCGCAAGTTTCCCACCCTCATCCTCTTATCAGTGTCTTTGAGCCACTGCGTCTCCAGTGAACTCTTTCCTGCCAGGTCTCATGTCCTGTGTGTATACACTTTGACCATGCTGCTTTTAAAGCATATGAAACTATCTGTTCTGTTTTCTTGGTCTCTGCTACATACAAGCCTGTCCAAGCTAGCATCACCTCCATCCTGAATGATGCCTGTGCCTGCCCCATGGCCTCTGGCTTCTCTTGGCTTATCTTCCCTTTATTTCTTCTGTACAAAGCAACCAAACGGTGCTCCCAAAATGCATAGGAATTCTTTTCCTTCCCAACTTAGAGTCCTTTACTTGCCTTTACGTGAACCCAAAGTTTCCCTCCCAGATGTGGATACCTCAAGGCCCACTGAGCTAGCTTCTGCCTCTCTCTGACGTCTCCTATCTCCTAGCCATGCCTACCTGCTCAGTGCGGCTTTGCTGTTTGATTTTCTCTGTTATGGGTGTTGATCATGCTCACTCTAATTCTGGGTCATCCCAGAGACCTGTGCCCTGTCTTCCTGCTGACAGTGCCTTTCATCACCGAAGGTTTTGCTTGATTTCCACCCTTCTTGAAAACCCAGTCTGATGGAGATCCTCTCTGGCTCTTCCATGTTGCCTTGTGTTACCTCATCACATCCTCTAAATTATCTTAATGCTTCACTCAGTCACTAAACGCATTGCATGTGTTTAACTAGTGTTCACATAGATTTACTGGGAGTCTGGTGTGGTGCTTATGTGTCTTAGCGACATTGGTCTTCATGATGACCTTCTTATGCGTCTTTCAGATGCGGAAATGGGAATATAGAAACATCTTTAAGGTCACTTACTGCAGAATGGCGTAGCACAGTTGTCTTAGCTTTTGAGTGAAGGTCTTGTCTAGTCTGTTCAACACTGAAAGTCCCTCATCTAGAATAGTGATGAGTACCCAGTAAGTACTCAATTAATGTTTGCCAAATGACAAAGACCACGAGTCTGATTCTCATAAGGTTATCCTACATGTGTCCTATATGTATCCTATATTCTCCTGGGATTCTTGGTATTACCAAGCAGCTGCCCTATCTACTATTTCCTGAGATGGTTCGGTGTCTTTTACCATGAAAATGTTTTAAATTCAAACTTGCATCCATCTGGACTCTTCACAGCTGCAACTAACATTCATGTGATAATATATAATTTCTCCAGTATCGCCCAGATGGATCTTGTCACAGAGCACTATCACAAGGAAAGAAATTACTCCTAACCCCTCCAGAGAGCAAAGTAGCCACTGCTGTCTTCTCATCAGGTTGACAAAGTAACTTCCCAGCTGCAGCTGAACCTAGATGACACCAACCACATGCTAAGAGTTGGCTTGTGTCGGTTACGTCCCAGGGAACTTACCTGCGTTAGTAACACTCATTTTGAGTAGAGTTGGAGCTTACTGGGAATGCCCAGGTGTGAGGTAAGAATTTTTTCAAGTGGGACAAATTAGATTTTTCTTGACAAGACCAGGCAGAGCCAAATTAATCAAATAATGATGTTATTTCATTTTGTTTTTACGGGGCCCCCTAGGGTAGCTCAGAAGTGGAGTATATATCTGGTACATGTAGAAGCCCTGAGTTCAGTCCCAGAACAACTACAAGAACAAATTGCCTTCAGTCTTTCTGTAATTTATTGAGCACTCGTTGACATTGCCAGTGACCCACTGGGGTACATTCCCCTTATTCCTCTTGAGCCCACTCAACTATTTCCAGCTGACTCCCTTCCCTACCCTCAGAGGTTCCCTATTCAGGGACCGCTTATAGCATAGGTCCATTGAGCTATTTGGAGATATTTGATATGTTTCCTCTCTGTGTTGCTTGCACCAGTCAGCTCAGAATTATCTGAGTTGTCTCGTGTCCAGGCTATTCAGACTTTCTTCTGCATGTACACTGTAGGGTGAAAGGGACAACTGGAGCAGGAGACCAACCAATCACTGAGCGTCCTGACTGTGAACCCTGATCTAGGGAAAGTAACATCTTTATCCCTGAACCTAAGACCAAAGAAACATGCCCTAATTCTGAAACCAGTGCCAAAGAAACACGGTTTGTCCCTAGAATCAGAGCTGGTAAAAGAAATATGCCTTGGTCCAAAGATTGAGTCAAAAGGCTAAAAAGGACCAGGGAAAGAAACAGTTTGGCCATGAAATAAGAGCCACCTCTGCCCCTGATCGACCAAACTAACCAATCCCTGAACATGGAAAATTAACCAGTCCCTCTTCTTCCTGGGAAAGCTCTGCCCATAAGAAGCCCTATGTAAGCCTCCCTGCCTGTTAAGTTAGGAGCTGCAGTTTAACCCTCTCTGGCAGAGGCAGCCGCTCTCCTGGATTCCTCTTTCCCAAATAAATCTCTTTCTCAAAAGAGTCTTGGGTGACGATCTTCATTGGCTGATGCATAACAGAAGAACCTGGCTGGGACATCCCTTAGGGGCTGAGCTGAAAAACCTTGCTGTGAGACACTCCCTTAGTGGGGCTGAGCAAGGCTGAGCAAGGCTGAGCAAGGCTGAGCAGAAAAAGTAAGAACTTTTGGCCGGAGAAGATTGTTACATTTCTGCAGGGGCTTCCCCTTTAGCAGGGTGTTAGCAAAAGAAGAACTATCTTGGGCCTGAGAAGAGGCAGATAGCTCTGCTAGTATGTTCCTTTAAGGGAAGAGAGTAGAGCACAGCTGTAGCTGTGAGACCACACCTCACTGCACCTCAGCTTCAGGTAGCCTGGCTTCCCAATAAGTCAGGGCACCTTCTCTCCAGGGCTGAGCTGTCCTACTGTGGCTCTGAGTATAACCTGGCTTCCCGGTAAGTCAGGATATCTTTGCAGTTCCACGGCTGTAACACATTCCCCTACATACACAGCTCCTTTGTTTAATTTGATCCTGTTAGGGTTTAAAGGAGTTGCCTCTGTCTCTTCGAGATGCTGAGAACAATTAAGTACAATATAAACTTGAGACTCAATCCCAGAAAGCCATAAAGACATTGCAAGGGGGGATGTTCTGTGTAGACTGAGGAATGTAGAGAGAAGTTGACAAGGTCTTTTAATTAGTCATTTTACATATATGGGCAAAACTCAGTGTGGTAGAGACAATGCTATGTGGTCCTCAAATATCACTTCATTTTCCATTTTCTGAATACGGAGGAACATACACATCTCAGTTTTGCTTTGCTTTTACAAAACAAGTTGGGTTGGAGGAAGTTATAGGGGTCGGCAATGGCTATAAGGACTTCTTCATTTTTCTGTCTCTTTATTCAGTCTCCCTTCCCCACAGCCACTTGCTATGTCAACTACCTTTCATGCTTAAAATGGCAGCCTTGCAAAATAGGAAGAGCTTGGATCCCTGAGTTCTTGGGTGGAAGAGACTATCTAAGACCAGTTTCATGGCCTACATAGACTGTTAGTTATTTATTTTTGCAGTACTGGGAATAAAACCTGGGGCCATTTGCATGCTAGACAAGTTCTCTACCAATGAACTATACCCCAATCCTTATTTTTCAAAACCTTCTTAAATTTTGAGACTTAGTTGATGGCCTTCAACTCTCAGTACTGCCTCAGCCTCCTGAATTGCTATGAATATGAATATATGAATAAGGATGACCATCATAGGCTCATAAATTTGAATTCTCAGTCACCAGGGAATGGCACTATTTGAAAAGATGAGGAGAGGTGGCTTTGTTGGAAGAAGTGTGTCACTGGAGATGGGCTTTGAAATTTTCAAAAGCCCAAGCCAGGCCCAGTGGCTTGCTCCTCCTTCTGCCTGCAGATTTGGCTGTAGAACTCTCAGCTACTTTCCAGCACCATGTCCGCCATGCTTCCTGCCATGAAGACAATGGACTAAACCTCTGAAACTGTGAGCAGACATCAATTAAATGCTTTCTCTTATTAGAGTTGCCGAGGTCATGGTGTCTCTCCATAGCAATAGAACATTGACTAAGACATTATGTCACCAGGCTTTGATACACCTGTATAGTATTCAACTGTGGAGATTTGGGGGTTGTTTGTTATGGAAGCCAGCATTCATGACTGTAAATGATAAAAAAAGACAGAGGAAATGTAAATTGGACCCCATTGTACATTTTTTCCTTTTTCCTTAGATTCAGCAACTGGTTTCAAGTGACATACTTTCCTGGTATCAGGATTTGCCACATATGCTAAGGGATTGACTGTGCAGTTCTTTATTTGAAATTGGCAAATAGGAAGGAAGAGGTTCTGGAGCATCCTTATCCAGAAGATGTGCCGAGGTTGAACAGCAGAAGTCGAGATTATATATACTCTTACATATAAGAGTATAACACCAGTAACAACCAGACCCCCCAGGACTCCCACTCTCCCAAGCTCCAAGACAACTACACATAGTTTCCCCTTTTTCATGAGTTTTAATTTCCTACAGTTTCAGTTAACTATGACCAACCCACCACCATATGAAAGAAAGGTAAGTTCAGGACAGTAATATGTACTTTGAGAGAGAGCATATCCACATAACTTTTATTAACATATATATATATATGCATGCATTTATACATGCGCTATTTTATTGTTAGTTATTGCTACTCTCTTATTATGCTTAGTTTATGAGTAAAACTTTATGAAGGCACAACATATAGGAAAAAACATAGCATGTATAGGGTTGGGTGGCTTCAGGCATCCCCTGGGGTTCCTGGAATAGATAGATCCCCTGCAGAAAAGGTGGAC